TCATTTTATTATCTCCTTGTATATGACTGTATCAGTCAGGCTTAAAACTGAAGCAATGACCAGCAAGGTTTTTCATTAACCTGCTTGGAGTTTTACAAGATTTCCACAATGTATACTTTAAGCAACAATCTCCAAACTTTTCAGTTCATCAATCCCTTCATGAAGTTTCAAATTGTTCATCAATACCTCCACAACATTATATGAAAATAGTTTAACACTACTTAAATGATGATACCAATAACAACAATCATACTCAAGGCAACTCTCGCTGGCAGCTGGCCATCTAACCATGAGAACATTGTTTTTTTTCACTAGTCACCTCACCTTCAGGATTAAGAACTAGCACAGAGCTCTACAGAGCTCTTAGAAGACAGTGGATACAGTACATTCATCATGGTCTATGCAGTTCTTTTAAGTGTAGACATATTTCAAACTCAGCCTCATTAATTTCTTTTTTAACCAAGTTAAAAAAACAGTGTGTTGTTATTAAAGGGCCTTGTGCAGAAATATCAGTGAAATGAGCAAATAACAAATGATCTCCAAAATCTGGGGAGACCTAGAGATGGGGCTACTCAACTCTGTGATACTTCTAGCTTTAAGGATCTAATCACAGAGATGGAACCACACAGAAGATCACACTTGTTATATGGGAACCACACAGATCCTGATCTGATAGTGACATTAGACAGCAAGCAGCAATTTTAACCCATCCTTAATGTCATAAATCCTCTCAAGGCAACTTGCAGAACAAACTACACTTAATATTCATGTATAAAATGATTTAATCCATCTCAGGATATACAGTGAAGTTTAGAAGGAAGATAATCTACTTTATAAACATCAAGATGGATTTAATTTTCCCTGGCTTGCTTTGCATCAAGGCAAGTTTCTTCTGTGCCTGTCTTATATATACACACCATATGTCTGAAGTAGTAGAGAAGCAGCTGAAAAGAATTTATGCAAAAACTATTTGGGTAAGTAAAAACTTAAGTTTATCGATCTGGTCCAATACAGTAATTTTGACTTCATTTTCTTCAAACTGAATAACCCTATAAAGCTTAGCATAGACCTAACATATAACACTAAATAATAAATACAGTATTGTATTGATTAAAGCCAAATGTTATGAATGAATCTCAAATACTATCTAGTAAATTATTTCAAATAATAATAACCAATAAACACAGGAATACCACTACATGGTTTGCTTCCCTTGGAGTGAATGACTTGGGATTCTTGGGATTCTATACATGCCATAAACCAGGGGTAGGCAACCTTGGCTCTTTTATGACTCGTGGACTTCAACTCCCAGAATTCCTGAGCCAGCCATGCTGAGGGGAAAGAGAGAGGTTTCCATGCTGAGCCATGCTGGCTCAGGAATTCTGGGAGTTGAAGTCCACGAGTCATAAAAGAGCCAAGGTTGCCTACCCGTGCCATAAACAAAAAGAGGAGAATGCCAAAAAAACATGAGGCAGAGTCAGAAGAAGTTAGAGAGACAATATCAAAGACATGCTACAATATCAAATAACAATGGTGGAGGCCACTAGAAATGCAAGAACCAGAATTTGTATCTTCCTCAGCACCCGAAGTGGTAAAAAAGGAAGTAAAGAAGAAGGAAGAAGTAAGCATAGGTAATGTTTTCATATTTTAACTATATGAACAGTGTTTTTGTTTTGTGTTTTGTTAGTTAACTAACAGAAACACCTCAATCTGGCCAGAAATAGGAGAATCTATCAAATTCAGTTTTACTCTGCTTCTAATTTTCTGAGCCAGTTCCAATTTTAGACATTTTCAAGGGCTGCTTCACATAGCAGGTATTACTGTACACCCCTCAGGTTACCATTTTATGAATCACCAAATTTAGTCCATCTCTTTCGTGAAAGGACACGTCTGATTTTTTTCAGCTCAATCTTGTCACAGATTTGTAGTTATCCAGCATTGATGTTACATGTGTATCTTTGCCACTAATGTTAAGTGATTGCTCAGTGTCGTTTTGGGGGCACCAGACTATGAATATTGTATGCCCCATAAAAGGAAATGCAACCTCATCAGAAGGTCTAATTATTATTGATCCTGTTAGAATTCAGTTTTGGCTAACTATTTTCCCAGTCCTTTACAGCCTGGACACACTGAGAGTCTGGAAACATCAAACCATGAAAGCACATGAAAGAAATATAGCTACGTATTGCCATGTTGATGACATATAATATAATGTTATTATATGAAATAATATGAGAGGCCTTGTAGAATCCCCAAGGAAATTTCCCAAGATGGTCTGATAGCACCCAGAGAAATAGCTCGAAACCGCCATAAAAACAGAGTCTTCAATTCCCTGAATGCTGCAACAAGATCTTGCCATGAGATCCATGAGTGCCAGTAGGGTTTTACTCCCTATTCCCCCCCCCCCCGCGTGATGATCTCTGGAAAGGAGCAAGATAAGTAATTTCTAAGCTACCTAAGAATTCCTGATAACTGGCTTCCCCGGATTAGACTCAGTGATTAAATCACAAATCTAATACTTCATGATTTTTCCCTGACTTGACAAAAAAATTCACAAACATGGATCACAGACATAGCTTAGCAAGATTAGAATCTTTATTGTATACTCAAATGATACCATACACAACAGTTGATTACCCATGGCACAAAAGAGATACAAATAACTTTTATACTTTGTGAGAATAGAATAGAATAGAATAGAATAGAAAGGGACCTTGGAGGTCTTCTAGTCCAGCCCCCTGCTCAAGCAGGAGAACCTAAACCATCTTAGACAAGTAGCTTTTTAAAAATCTCCAGTGATGGAGTGTCCACGATTTCTGGAGGCAGGCTGTTCCACTGGTTAATTGTCCTCACTGTCAGAAAGTTTCTCATTAATTCTAGGTTGCTTCTCTCTTTGATCAGTTTCCAACCACTGTTTCTTATTTTTCCCCTGGCGCTTTGGTAAATAACATAACCCCCTCTTCTTTGTGGCAGCCCCTCAAGTACTGGAATATTGCTATCATGTCTCCCCTATTTCTTCTTTTCTTTAGACTAGCCAAACCCAAGTCCTGCAACCGTTCTTCATATTTTTTTAGTCTCCAGACCTTCGGGGTTAATGAATACTTGCTATGCCACTTGAAGACTTTCAAGTGGGGCAAATGTATCCTTACACAATGGCCATCTTACATGTACTTCTTCAGGAGGTAATAACAAAACTACTTCAGATGGTTATTATTAAATGGTGCAGCACAGCAGTAGTGCCCAAAGAGACACCAAGTGCAGTGTGATCCAAATAATCATGTCAATGAAGAATTGCCCAAACTCCTTATAGTTGAGCTCAAATATATACATTTTATACCAATGTATATATGGGTTTCCCTATTGCGTTTTAATTTTTTGTTCATTTTCCCCTAATGTGTGCAAATTGTGTGCATTTAAAATTCAGAAAAATGTTGATATGGCTGGCAAATGCATAAACTATATTTCAGGTTGTGCACTGGCTCAAGAAGGCCACACTGAAAAATAAAATACAAACCAAATGACACCCCCCCCCAAAAAAACCCTGCCTTTTGACAGCCTTTGGTGATTGGAGACTTCAGTGGCTGTGGCTTAATAAAGCTGGCTTTACTACTGCAGCAGGAAACCTCAAGTTATACTTGGGCAATTCTTTTCTTACAGCTGAAACACACCCTGCTTTATAATACAATTTTTTCATCCCTTATATTTTTATTCATGTTCAACCTGGCTGTATTGCTTGCATTTCTAAACGACAAGTTTGGTATCCTATTCAACTCAGGGCAGAATATTTATTGTTCAGTTTCATAAGGAGACAGGCTGGCATGAGAAGTGAAATAACTGAGGCTTGGTGACCAGTTTTGTTTTTGCCAATCCTGCTTCCAAATTTTTCACATCCATCCCAAACTGAACCTGCAGCCATATCATGATGACTGTATCTGGGAGTAAGCCACTTCAAAAGTTTAACCTGCTTATAGTACAAGTGTGTGCATGTCTACATGCTCAGGAAGTTCCTGAAATCAAATTATTGAACCTGGAAGCAGGTTCAATAAAATGTAAGGATTTTTTTTAAACTCAAACAGGACTTTCCTTTTCTAAAAGTTGTTCAGAATTGTGTTATAAACAAATAAAATTGCATAACACAGAATTATGTTATAACAAATTTGTTATGAACAAATTAAACTTTTTCCGACTGTTTGTTTCTATTTACTAAGTGGAATACCGTATCTATTCTAAGCCCACTGAGCCACTCATAAAATACAAAGAAGCCCAGCCTACTCTTTATGCAAGGATCTCAGATGAGATCATTCAAATTTCTTTTTTTTTTTTTAGTGTATTTCTCCCAAGCTGTCCATGTTAGACTTGGCTCGAAAGAGGAACAGCCCAACCAAGCCTAATTCAAGTCATAATTGAGTGAATCATAACAGATTTCCCTTTCTTTTAGATGCATAGTTTCAAAATGAATGTTTATATTATGCCGGTGGATTCAGAAACTCCTTTTTTTTCTCATGGCCTAACACTGCATCTTGTTATTTTTCTGCCAAAATCCGGTGAAGAAGCTGAAGGAGAAAAAAATAAACTACTCTTTTTGACTCTCATCTTTACATTTCTTGGACAAACCCTATTCCAGCCTTCCCCAGCTTCGCCCCCTTTCAAATGTTCCGGAGTAACACGCCAGTTGGGCCCAAGATATTGTAGCTAAATACCATCTGAAAGGCCTCCCCAGATGGGAAAGGCTACCGATGCGCGCCTCGGCAGTCGCACTTGAAGAATTTAAAAGCTTTTGTTGTTGTTGTTGTTTTTGCTACGACTCTTGCCAGGCCGGGACACCTAGCGATTCGCCAGATGTCCAGGTCCGGTTTTGGATGCTAAAGCTCAACGCCGATCTGCCTCGGCGCCTATACAGGCTCGGCTGCCACCTCCTCTGCAGCGATGTTTTCCGTCACACCTAACCCAGCCTCACAGGCTACACCTGGCTCGAGGAGAGCCAGTCCCAAATTACTTACTGGCGTTGCTTCTGCCGGGTTTGAAGTTTCGTTGCCGGGTTGTGCTGACTCTCCGGGAAAGTTCGGAACAGAGTCCTCCGCTCCCGAAAGCGTTCGGGAAAACCCCGAATCTCAACAAGGAACGAAGATCAAGCGAAAGTTTGGGGCAGGATCCTACTTCCCAGCAGCTCCTCCAAACACGCGCTTTCTTTGTTGGGATCTCCTCTCCCCCCCCCCGCGCCCCCAGAGTAGAGTGGGAGGGTGGCTCAAAAGACCGCCCCCTCCAGATGACGTTGCGCAAGCGAGGCCGGAGGGAAAGAGCTTAGTCTGCAGATTATTTTTTTATGCAGCGGTCGGAGCGAAGAGGAAGTGGAGTTTTGGCAAATGGCTCGTAAACTTGTTTATGTAGACCTGGCTTGAGATTCCTTGTTTGAGAAGTAGGATTGGAAACTCTGGCAGTCGGAAGTAGCCCTGTCCCCTAAAGCGAACCTCCTGGTCCGCGAGGCTGCAACTCGTAGGCACGGAGCCCAAAGCCAAGCCCGGTCTCTGCGTCTTTGCTGCTGGGCACGCTTTGGGACTTTCAGCCGCAGACGGTCACGCTTTCGCCCGCTGCATCTGGGGTTTCCCTTAAATCCGCGGAGACGGGCGGAAAAGAGTTGGCAGTCTGGTCCAAATTCTTTAAGAAATCCCCGTGCAAATGATATGTGTTTGCTCACCGTTTGCTGCTGGAGGTGCCCGATTTAATTTCCAAACAAATGCTGGGAGTCGACCCCATCCAGAAGGCAACCTTACCCTTAGCCTATTTTTCTATTTTTAGGAGCTCTCATGTGCTTGTAGGACTTGCTTACTCGTGGTTGGCTTTCCAGAGTTAATTTAATGAATACTTTGAATGCAATATAGTTCCTGCTTTCTGCTTGCATGTGTCATACAAACCCAAGCATAGAGAGGTCACGTGCTGCAATGAGAACAGGACTCCAGTTCAGATGCCCAGTCATCTACAAACCTTGATGGTTGATCAGTTTGGTTCAGTTTCTAAAGTCCCAGGTATTTGGCTGTTTTAACTGAGAGGGGGAAAGAAAGGAAGAGAATTATATATGTTCCATAGAGCAGATTGAAGGCAGAATTTTACTCCACTGTTCTTTAGTTTCGTTTGGAGCTACCAGAATGTAATGAGGAAATCCTTACCTAGCATACAGTTATACCTGTCGGTTGTAGTTTTGACTTCCCTAATTTCATAAACAGAACAATAAAAATATTGTTTTAGACAAATTATTAGAATGATCATCTTTCCCCAACCTGGTGTGTTTCAGCTGAATTGACATCCCTACATATTTCCAGTCAGCACAGCAATATTGCAGGAGACTAAGACCGGATTAAGATATAATAGTCTTTTTGTTGTATGAACTCAGCCATTGTGATTTTTAAAACTATGCTTAATAGTTTAACATGTTGCAAAACCCAGCTAATTGTGATTTATTAAATACTTATTAAACCGATTATATATAAACACAAGTTATAATTCAGCAGTATCTGGAAGGCCACAAATTTTCTTTTCCTGCTTTGGTAGTTTAAATAATAGTGTTTATTTGCAGGATTGTTTGTATTTCTAATTTTAAAAAATGAAGATAGCATTTTTTTTTCTTGCTGTTGCTAAAGAGATATTTTAAAGCTTAGTGTGATACACTTGCCAACTGATGGGATTAAATGTGTGCACCAGTTTATTGAGATAACACCAAGCAGGACTGCAATCAGCCCTAACACAACAAGTATTATGCTGTATATGCCTGATCTTATTTACTTGCACATTGTGTGGTCTCATATTTGCTTAATTGTGGTTTATTGATTAAAACAAGATTAGTTGTGTTGTGTGAATCTAGCCACTTGGCTGTGCATTTAGCACTGTATTGCTGCTGGGATCATAAACTGAATACTGTATTTGAAGAAAAGATAATAGAGGTGCTGTTAGGCTTTTGGCTCACTGTTTAATAAGGAAGGAAGGGGATGACTTTGTGCATTATCATGTTGGAATGATAACAAAAGTGCAACCTCACCCATATCTTTTGTTTGCTTCAACAGCTTCCTTTGTCAAAAATCTGGCTCCAGGAAAGCAGTGCCACATCTAGTCCTGGTGAAGGAGTCTAATCAAGATATCTGGAGGAGGAAATGTTACAACCCCTGCCTTGACCTCTCTAAGGAAAGATAAAATATACATCTAACAAATAAATGAATGAGTTGAGTTGTCTTAGTTTTCCCCTGACATGCTTATCTCTAAATCTTGTTATACAGATGATTGTGGTGATATAATATGGTAGGCTACATACAAGCTACATTGTGTATTGTGTGAAAATAGCTTATGAAAACCCAGAGTTCTCTGCAGAAAAAAACTAACTAGTTGCCATGGCATTGTAGGCTCTGAATTACTTGGTGATTGGAAGGAATCCAGTTGGTACAATATTTCCAATATGGAAATATCCTAATAGAGAAGGATGATGATGTTCTCATCTCACGTAGCCATTATAATGGCAGAAGATTGAAGAAGGAAAAAGGAAACAAATATGAGCCTGATCCAGTGTGCTAATTTTTTGGTTTCATTCATAATTTTAAAAGTTAGGGCGCCTGTGCCAATCCTACAACATCTGAGTTGCATTAACTGGGATAACTCGATAATAGAAAAGCAATTAAGAAACCCCTTTTTAATGCAATCAAGTAGTTGTCAAGACATTTGACAATCTTTCTCAACATTCTCTCTCCCTCCTTCCCTCCCCCCCCCCACACATAGAGCACACCTTTAATTACTTTTCTTGGGGAGCATGCTGAATCTAGTATGATAGCAATAGTTGGTTTTTATATAGCTGATGCTAAACGTGAAATATGAATCCATCTGGCTTGCACAACTGGACTTCAAAATTATTTTCAATTCATTTGTATTGTGGCCTTTTGCCAGCAAAATTTTCAAATTTCCAGTTACAATATTGACATTTCCTGGAGACATACTGTACAAAAATCGTATTCCTTGTTTATTACATAGAAAAACATGAAAGACGGCTGGGTGGCCTTGGACCAGTCACTTTCTACCATCCCAACCCACCTCATAGAATTCATTGTTTGGGAAGTATGATTAATATAATACAGTTGTTGTGGGGAAAGGGGAGGAAGGAGTGTTATGTATGTTCACCATCCTGAGTTACTTATAAAGGTGGGATAAAATTCTAATAACATCATTTTTCTCAAATCATTGCTGATTACTAGCTCACAATCTCCTAGTTCCACAACAGAGGTTAAATTAATGTAATAGGGAATAACAAAAAAGGAACTAAGAACGTAAGCACTATTTTTACATATGAATCCTGTGATAAAAATTACAGAGTACAATTTGGCAGAGTACAATTTCTAGAATCCCCAACCAAACTCTTTGAAGGCACAAACTTGAGAAAAGATTGTTTAAGATAAAAGGCACTGATGATTCTTCATACTACATGGTATGTAATGAAATACAAATACTTAAAGGCAGGGGTCTTCAAACTCGGCCCTTTTATGACTCATGGACTTCAATTCCCAGAATTCCTCAGCCAGGTACACTGGCTGCGGAATTCTGGGAGTTGAAGTGTATGAGTCATAAAAGGGCCGAGTTTGAAGACCCCTGCTTAAGGGCATGTATGAAACAGCTCAACATAGTGGAATGCAGCTCCAACTCTTAATAAAAACTTGATGAACCAAAACATTTTATCTTTTCAAATGTTGACACAGCACATTGGAAAAGTACACTAAAAATCCTCTGAGATGTAGTAAAGGACTCTGCATCTACCTCTCCTAAATATTTCATTGCTCATGCGAGTGATCCACTTCTAAAAGCAGCGTACCATTATAGGCAAACTTATTACAACATTTAATTCTGTTACTTTTCTTCACCTTTAAATTGTCTTCTTCCAATACTGCATTGCTCAGTAGACTTCTCATGTTTACATTAACAAAAGTAAAATTAAAATATATGGTTTCATAACTGACAAAGCTAAAATAGGCAACAAAAAACATTGTGCATCAGGTCAGCATACAAAATACATAGAAACTCAAGGAAAATGGAAAGATACTAGAGCAAAATAAGCTGTGGTTCTTCTTGGCTGGCACTTTTGTTTATGAGCTTGTACTGCATGGAGAAAAAAGACTGGTATCTTTCCAAGCCACCAGTCCTAGAATGATTCTTTCAGTCATGTTAGTTAGAGTGACCATTACATGGAAGCTGATCAAATTGGGGATAGACAAGACAGACAATATTTCCAGGCAGTCCACCAGTCCAGGTATCATGAGATCTGTAGACAAATCCTAGGTCAGTGGTGGCGAACCTATGGCACGGGTGCCAGAGGCGGCACTCGGAGTCCTCTCTGTGGGTACATGTGCCGTTGCCCCAGCCTTGCCTCCCCCTGTGACCCCCTCCTCACCAGCAGCCCCCCTGGAGGAGAGTCGCCCCCGAGTGTGGCCCACACGGAGCAGCGCAGCCAAGGACAGCGTAGACAAGACTCTGCCCTCATCCCCCATTGCGCACAGTTGATGCTGCAAGGCATGGGCAGAGGGCACCATGGCGCTGCTGGGCTGCCTGGGCGATCTGCGGTGGGCCCTGGAGGTAGTGAATGGCCCTGCGGGCAGGCAGGGTGGCAGCGGGGCAGGGGGTAGAGCAGGGCAGGGCCAATTTTTGGGCACTCGGTCTCTAAAAGGTTCGCCATCACTGTCCTAGGTTATCCAAGTAATATTCATATGTGCATTGTAAGACTGTAGCATACATTTTTTTAATCCTACTAGCATACTATCACCTACTGTATATCATCAGATTGATCATTAAGGCACTTCTATTTTTGACTTTACAGATCTATGTTGCTTTGTTTTCTTTTCAATACAGCCTCAAGCTCAATTTATTAGAATTATATTAAAACTCTGAATTAAAGGAACTGCTACATATAACAAATTGGAGCCCTCCTTTAAGTTCAAGGAAAGGTACCAGCAGTATCTTTTTTACAATGAAGACCAGTATGAGAAAAAAATAGTTGGTATATCTACAATTCTTGTTTTTTAATCACTTCTGGATGTGTTTTGCTGAGATAGAATGCCTGCCTTTGAAAGTGACTCCTTTATAGAGAAAGAATTGTTTAGAAGTTTGAACAAATGCTATTTATAATCACGTGTGATGTCTTTATTCACTTTTGCCCATCTAAAAAGATTCTGTAAAGGATCACCATATGAGAAAGTGGTGGCTATCTCAGGAAGTAAATGCTGGGGGTTGGTGTGAAAACTACATTATTTGAACCATTTCTTTCTCCTCCCTCCCTCCTCTCTCTCTCTCTCTCTCTCTCTCCCTCTCTCCCCCCCCTTCCGGGATGGATGAGGACAGTCTTCCCCAATCTTCTCTTTCTCTCTAGTGTTGCAATTATATCTGAGAATTCCCAGCCAGCATGTGGTTTAATAAGCTTATCAAAATCAGTACAGAATCTGAATGTGTACCAAAAGGTCCATAGATAACATATTAATTCTTACTGCCTCCTTAAAGGCAAATTCAACTGCACACATATACACACAGAGGGAAGGGGGGGGCAATGTTATCCTTTAGGATAGACTGAGATACATTTTTGGGGGCTGCACTTAACATTCTCTAGGAGAAGAGCTGTAATAGATAGTTGCAGTATGAATTGGTATAAAGGGTTAGGGGTACATAAGAGCAGGATATTTTTTTGCTTAAAATGGCAGGAAATGTCACTCAGTTTTCCCGGTTGTGGCCCTGGGAAGCTCTGATATCTTCAAAAAAGATTGAGAGAAACATCTGGCATTGGGATATTAATGTGCCCACATCTGTTTTATGAGAAATTTGATGTATTTAGAATGTTGATGCATTATTCAGTCCTTCATCATTCTTTCATTTCAGAAAATTACACAGAAGTATTATTTATCACATAATGTATTACTTTAGGAATACAAAAACATTTTTATTAAAGCTTTCTGCTGATTTAAAAAGATTTTCATTTATTCATCAATTTACTTAAGACATTAATTTTGTATACATTTGCAAGATGCAGTCCTGTTTTCTTTTGCAAAGAGAAAACCTCACATATCAGACTAGATTCACAAAAGATATTCAGTTATAATGCATTTTGATTAATGTGGATAAGCATGTTATGTAAACCAACCAGTGTAGTTTGTAATTTTTGATATATAAGTTAACATGATGGATCAACCCAGCTCAGTGCACTTTATTCAATAAATCATGCTGAACCAATTGTTTAAACATAGCCCCAACCTGTGACACAGTATTTTGAGTTTGAAGTACTCAGGATTTATTTCATCTAATTTACTTGATGAGAAAAGACAAAATCAGCATAGCTCTTGATACTGAGAACTGACACATTTAAACAGCTCTTCTCCAGGGGATCTCAAGGAATTTGTGTTTATAGATAAAACTCATAATCTTGATTGCATTTCACATGGGAAACAAAAAAAAGAGACAGGAAACTTGATTTTGCTGCTCAAAAGAAGATAAGAAAGGGAATAGGCTTAGATTCCTTTACTCTCTAAGCTTCTTAAGGGGCAGCTGGAGCCAATCCCACTTGGTTATTCCCTCGATCAAAGACAGAGTAGTATTGGCCAATAAAAACATCTCCCAGAATCCAGAGTGGACCAGGTGTAGTGTCTATATCTAAACCTTGGAAGCCACTGGTGCACATGTTCATCCCATCACTTATGGCCTATGGGAAAGAAGATATGTAGGTATGAAAGCAATTAATATTAAATTATGATAATCATGTTCAGATTTCTTTGCCAGCATTTACCCACACACAAAAGCAGTTTTAACCACAGAAACTTTAAATGCTAGAAGTTGACGTCCTTATATCTGAAGGATGACCTTGTTGGGAAAGATTGTTGTAGAACTTCCAATGCTCAACTGAGGACTGAGATAGAAGGAAGAAGGCAATGACTGGACACTGAGCCTTAGTTTATGACATTACCTTCACTAAAATATATTTAGTAGAACAAAAATGTCATTATAATTTAAAATAATTGCCTACTCTAAAAAAGAAGTAAAACCTGAAAGGTACATGTAAGACAGGGGTCTTCAAACTTGGCCCTTTTATGACTTATGGACTTCAATTCCCAGAATTCCTCAGCCAGCGTGCCTGGCTGAGGAATTCTGGGAGTTGAAGTCCACAGGTCATAAAAGGGCCAAGTTTGAAGACCCCTGATGTAAGATTTATATAGATGCCTCCAAGTCAGTGTTATATTGTATTTGTGTATGTGTATATTCTTTATTATCTTTGTATATATGTCTTCTAATAATGACTAAGATCCACGCAAGAGGATGTAGCATGCTCTATTGTGGTGGAAGGCATCATCTCCTCTCCCAAAGAGAAAATAGATTGCAAAAAAGAAGAGAAAAAAGGCCCCAAATTTGTGAATGCTAAATGTATATGTATAAATGAAGATTTAGAAATAATTGTTTAAATGAAAATGCTAGACTTCAAAGCTGAATCACCTGACCTAATCTTTTGGATTAGCCTCAATTTATTGAGATAACTGCAGAATTCAAAAACTGTGCACCTTTTTATATAATTGTAGTTTATTCTAATGAGGCTTGTAGGGAGGTGGAGGCTTGGGTAACTCCTTCTTAAATGTTCCTTTGCTCCATAAATTGACTTATAAAAATCAAGTAAGCTTTTCCCTACTTTTTATTACACTTTAACTTTTAAGTTAGACACAAAATTAATAAAGATTTTGATCTAGTGTGAATGCTAGTCCCCCCCCCCCCCTTTATGGACAAACAAGGCTGTCATTGTGGTAAATATTCTTTTCCCCACAGTATTTTTTTCAACAGCAACAGAGCTTGTCAAACACATATGCCTTCCTTCCTTCCTTCCTTCCTTCCTTCCTTCCTTCCTTCCTTCCTTCCTTCCTTCCTTCCTTCCTTCCTTCCTTCCTTCCTTCCTTCCTTCCTAGTAAATGAAGGGAATGAAGGAAATCTGTCATTTCCTCATTCTTTAGTTTTACTATTTTTATTTATATCCCACTTTTATGATTTTTATAAACAACTCAAGGGGGCAAATATAGCCTATTTTCTCCACAACAATAACCCTATAAGTGAATTGGGCTGAGAGAGAGAATGAGTGGTCCAAAGTAACCCAGCCAGTTTTTATGCCTAAGGCAAGACTAGAACCTACTGTCTCCCAGTTTCTAGCCTGGTACCTTAACCACTATTCCAAACTGATTCATTTTTATTGTTATTATTATTTTCTGTTTATTATAATGATGATTAAAA